TTTTTTATTTTTTATTATGTAACTTTTTTGATTTCTTTTCTTTTTTATTTAATTTAAAAAGAGGTTCCTAATATTTTCCTAATACTATTATAGAAAAATCATTATCACGTTTTATTTCTAAAGAAATTTTTAATTTAATACCATTTACTTTAAATTTGTGTCCTTGTAGATAAATTTTTTTATCTTTATATTATTTAATAAAAATATCTAAAGTTGCTTAAATATTATGTAAATGCATAGTTGTAATATAATTTTCTTCAATTTAACATATTGTTCTTTATTAATAATATCTATTTTAACTATAATAGATCATACTTTTAATTGATTAAAATTCTAGCAAAAAGCAACAAGTATTATATTAGTTCTTTTAGATCATGGTAAATTACCTACATTATTAAAGTTTAGTAGAAGGTTTCCTTCATACGAAAGAATAAAAATAAAGATATGAGATAAAGAAATAATAATAAATACAATAAATTAGGAAAAATGTATGCAATTAATTAATTAATAAATAAAAGACTAGTATTATCTCTGTCAGCATATCTGTACTAAATAATTTATTCCTTAAAAATTTTCTATAAGATAAGTTCACTCTCTATATATCTTCTATAAAACTACTCTTATTTATATAAAAATATATTCTATAAAAATAAATTAAATAAAATAAAAAAAAATAAGTAAAATAATTTAAATAAATAAATAACATAAATGGATAAAATGAAAAAAAATAACAAAATATCATTAATGAATTAAATGAATTAGATTACTAAATGCAGATCATTTATCTATTTAATTTAGTAATACAAATGCAAATCCTTTTACTATGATCATCCTTTTTTATATCATTTTTAGATGTAATACTATTATTATAATTAAAAAAAAAATATTTATAATAATATATACATTTTTATTTATAATAATCTTTTTATTTTTTTTAATAATAAATTATTATTAAATATTTTATAAACAAAATTTTTTATATGTAAAATTTAATTTTATTATATTGTTTTATTAAATATATTTACATTTTCTTTATCTTTACTTTTCTTTTTTATAACTATAAACTTATTTATTTTATTAAATATAATCTAAATTACATATTACTTTACAATAGAAAAAAACTTAAAATTTTTTTGAATTAATATTAAATTTAAACTTATTTTATTGATATTTAGCCATTTGGCCAATATTTGATCATAACTATTTGGCCATTTGGTCATGGCTAAAATATCCAAATTTTATTTTAAGTTTGATTAACCAAAAAATTTTTTATACAATAGCTTACAAAAAAAAATAGAATATAATTGGTTAATTGCAAAAAAAAATTGATATCTTGATGTTTAAAATGTTAAAAATTGCAATAATTGATACTTTTAAAGAATATTCTATTTTGCAAAAGTTTTACTATTTGAACGTCAGAGGCATCAATTTTTGCAATTTTGCAAAAAATTGAATATCTGAATGTCAAAGGCGTTAATTTTTTACTATTTTGCAAGAAATTTTAACGTACTGAATATTGAAGACCAATTTTTTTAAAATTTTACAATAAATTCATAAATTACAATTTGCAAATAAACTGTAACAAAAATTGGCAAAATTATATAACATTTAGCCAATTTGGCCAATTGGCTATTTGATCGCTGATTTTGACTGATCAGCCAAATTGACCAAAAAATTAGGCTTAGTTGTAGCCAAATGCCAATTATAGTTTAATTTATATATGTTAAGAAAACAATATAATACTCAAATTAATATTTAATTATAAATAAATAATAGCTAATAAATATAAATAAAGTTATATTAAAAATTGATAATTTATTTAATAATTGAAAATTAATATAAATAATTATTAATTTATATAATTTAAGATATAAATAGTATTCTAATTAATACAGTTAACTTTTGTTATAACGAACTCTATGTTCTAGACCTTAACTATACTATAAGGTTATAGTAAAGATTTTAAAAGATTTGATTAGCCAATTCATTAAAATAAGAGTATTTTTATTATACTGTATTCCTCTAAAAATAAGCAATCTCTGAAAATAAGTAACCCTCAAATTAACTTAATACCCAAAAATAAGCAACTTAATTAAATTTTATAAAATACCATATATAAAAAAAAAATTTTTATTTTTAATGTTTCAATATATAAATCACGTTAAACATGATCGTTAATATCATCTTCAATATTATTTTTGATATCATCATCAATATTATCATCACTATTAATATTATCGCTACTATCAATATTTTCTTTATCAAGGATCTCTAAATCAGAATCCAAATTAATCGATATTTCACAAGTTTTAAAAGATTCTATAATAATTTCATCAGAAATCCTTTTTTAAGACTTTTTAACCCATGAACATACATCACTAAATCTAACGCAATAAAGGTTTTCCTTAGCAGTTTCTTCAGCATTACTATCAGCTATTCAAATATGCCATTCTTTATGAAGATTATCCTTGAATGGCTTATTTATTGCAACATTCAGTAACTGATAAATGTTAATCAACTCATCTGAAATTACTGCAAGATCAAAGCCAATTTTATGAAACTTTCTTTTTACTGATTTTTCCAAATAATCTTTAAAAGAATTATATATAAACATTGCTAGATTTTCTTGAGACCTGTTTTTTATTCTTATATCATTGAGATAATCTACATACTTTACCATTAAATCAGAGTCCATCCAACTATTTTTTTAGAACTAAATAATAATACTAGAAGGAATTTGTTCTCTGCATGATATTCTTTTTTCTTTGAAAATATATATTAGAGGAAGTTTAGTCCCATCTATAATAATGAATCAATATTATTAATGAGTAAATTTCGATTTTATAAAAAAAAAAAAGCTTACCTGCAGCACATGTAAGTACTACTGTAAACCTATTTTTTTTATTGCCTGATATGCGAATATGGACTGTTTTTTCACTCTTTGGATTGATGGTAAAATTACTAGTCATATCAAACTAAACAGGTGTTTCATTCATATTATAAATATTCCTTAATTCAAATGACTTTTCAATTCTTAGTTTAGTAACAAATTGGTGAAACTTTTCTAATTGCTTTTTAGTTTGATTAGGAAGCTTCTGAAATATTCTAGTTCTTCTCTACAATACTAATCTATATCTTTTCATAAAAGCAGTTAACCAGCGATGAGACGTTTTAAAATTTGACTTACCATAAAGAACCTTCATATTTAGTTCTTTTAAAATTTCTAGCATTCTACTTCATATTATTACATAAATAACCACAAGACTTTACTTTCTTTATTTTATAATCTATTCATAAAGCCTATTTTCAGCTTTAGGATAAAAGGCTTCTCATCCAGAGCCAAGCCTCTTACTTTTTCCTTTTGTTTCAATTGTCCAATTTGAACTAGCAGCAACCCAATGTTCTACCATGCTATGATTGATATCAAAGTACTCTGCCGTCTTAATGTAACTATGTTCTTTTATATAGGTAATGACTTATATTTTTTGTTCAATAGAATACAAAGTTCGTTTACGTTTATTAACTTTTATAACCTTTTATTTAACAATCCTTTTTTGTAGAATGTGGCATTTTAGCTGAATAAAAAAAATTTTTCACGATTTTATGTGATATTAGATGATTAACACGATCAATGATCACAAAATTTATTGACGAATTAGCAGATTTTAGATTGTACATCATAGTTAATCAAACATATTCAAAAATAAGCAACAATATAGCAAAAATATGTTGCTTATTTTCAGAGGAATATGGTATTTGTTCAAAAATTCGTTATATCAAGAGTTCACTATATTAAGAGTTGACTATATATTTTCTGAATATAACATTTTTAACTTAATAGCAATTTTTAAAGCTTAAATATTTAGTTAATTTTTAAAAATAATAGAATATAATATAACTTCATAAAGTTTAAATTTTATTTGAATTATTATAAGTATTGCTATATAATTTATTTAATTAAATATAATACATATATTGAAAAAGGTTTATAATAATTAACAAAATTAATATATTAAAGCTTATAAAATTAAAATATGAACAAAAAATATAGATATGCAATTTAAAAGTTTAAGAGTACTTTTATTTTCTATAGCTGTAAATAAAAAATTTATTTAACTTAATAAATATTTAAAATCTTTAATTTTGCTAAAGATTTTATTATAATTTTAGCATTTTTATAAGTTTTAATGTAGTTTTATTTTATTTTTTTAAGATTTGCAGAATTTTTAAACTTTAAGTTTTATTTTATATAATTTAAAATAAAAAATAAAATTATTTAAAATAATAAATAATAAAAATTCAATAAATTTGAAAAAATTTAATTAAAAAAAAAAATGTTTAATTAAATAGATAAAAATTTTATATAAAAGTAAATTTTAATAATCAAATATATTATTTGTAAATTATTTAATAAATTAGATTTATTTATAATTAAAAGTTTAGGATTAGAGAATTAAATTTAAAAATTGGAATTAAAGATTAATTTTGAATTCTTTATTATATATTATTACCTTTAGGTAATATTAAAACTATTTTTAATAATGTGAATAATTCGGATACATCTCTTATGAAATAAACGCAAATAATCTAATATGAATCTATTTTTTTTTTTAAAAAAAAAAAAAGGCTGTTTTATTTAGTGATGGTAAATTATAATGTTATTTACTATTTTTTTTTTTTTGATCATTTTAACTTGAAATTTAATAAAAATGATGTCATTTGAGATCATTCGAGGTCATTTCAAGGGTTTTTCAAGGTCATTTGCCAATTTTGAATTCATTAGCTAAGAATTTCAGGACGAAAAAAATTTACGACATTATTTTGAATTCTCAGACTGCTAAAAAGTTATTAGACCTTCATTGTACAAATTATTTGCTATTTTATTTCGTTAATCAACGATTTTCTAATAATTTGCAAAGGTATCTCAATAACTTCACTTAAAATTATTGTAATTCTCTTTACTGTTCTTCTATAGCTTTCATAAGATTAAAAAAAATCCATTACGATGGTCGTCCTTTACAAAAAAAAAAAAAAAAAAAAAAAAAAATCAAGAAGTACCAAAAAATATTTGTAAATACCAACCCCGTATTTTAAAGTTCATTATTCGATCAGGAAGTAATAATAGTCTGTGAAAATCATCATTGATTTTTTTTTTTTTTAAAAAAAAATAATTTAATCTCTAGAATAATTATAATTTGCTTATATACAGTTCATAATAATGTTCATTCATTTTTTTTCATAATTTCATAGAAAATAAATGTCTTTGAAGCAAAATGATCAAATTTACATCAATAACTTGATGAAATGTGCAACAAAAATAATAAACAAAGGGGAATAAAGAATAAAGAGAATGACAATAATGAAATGAAAATAGAGGAAATAATTCCAAATAGGTATAAGATCGTTTTTGTAATTGCTATTATAGATGTTGTAAACACTGAAAGCATAATAGCACCTATAAGCAAAAGAGGTACAATTTTCAATGCCATATCCACATAAATCACTTTATCCAATAAACGTTCTTGATAATAACATTGATAATAAGATAATACCCAATTTACAATCAGTTGACCAAAGAGTGTAAAGACGAACACCTTAAAAGTTACGGAAGTTGAAAAATATAAAAAAGTAAAAAGACATAAAACAAAAGAACTAGAATAAATTCCCTTATAATCTATATTGTTGATCATTTGCTTCCTTCTAATCTGATAATTTTTGATTGAAACTTGAAAAACTTCATAATCCTCAGCGAAAAAAATCTCTTTTTGAATGATTTTACGTTCGTAAGATCGTTGTGTACTGAGCCAGATGGAAGTGTTTGTCATGCATAAATCACTTCCAAAATATGGGCCTTTATTGCCATTCCAGTAGATGGATTCCATTGGACTATTAACGCGGCTTAATGTTGGATCATTCGGATTTGTAAGAGAAAAAATAAAGCTATTTGATGTATAGCATCGTTGATCTCGATAGGCAATTCTTCCGAAATTGTCACGCTTACTAGTTTTTCCCACGTTCCAATTGATTGGATTATATCCTCCAACTACTTCTCCTGACCCTTGAACCTTAATGACCACGATTGTTGCACCTTCATTATCACAAAGGTTGTGGAATGTGTCAATCCCGAATCCATCACGAGAGCCACGAAGCAGGAGTTTGAATACGAATGGATTTTCTTGATATGCATACGGTTTCCCCCTATAATCTATCCAGCCTGCAACCCTATTAATTTCATTGAAAGAAATTAAATCCGAATCGAGTTTGTCCGACATTCGAGGTGGTAAAACTTGAATTTGACGTTCCGTCGCGTAAGGATTAAGATGATAATTTCTGACATTATTTTTAAGTTTCTTTGATAGAATATCTTGAAACGGAGCACTCAAAAGATCATTGTAGTGAATGTGAAAAAATCTGATAAAAGGGATGCATTTATGTAACGTCCTTTTAAGTACCAATAAATCATTATTGGTCCATTTAGTTCGATCCTGACTTAACTTTGGGTTACTATTTGCGGCCCCCCAATTGATAACATTCTCCAATATTTTCATCTCTTCCAACTCTAGGTCGTCTTGTTTTAAGACATAAATCAAAGCGGATTCTTCCAATAGAGGAAAATCCATTGATGCGAATAACAAATGAGGTTTCTCACAAACAAGTTCAATTAAATGATTCCGTAGTCTAGTAATATGTTCATACTTACAAACTATATTGAGAGGATTAATAATATTGAGTTGTAACCATTCGGACTGCATCTCGATCATGTAGGTTTGAATGGTATCTATCAAGCTTTCAAGTATAAATTCATCAGAAGCTGCCAAAATTTCGAGGATAATTTGCGGACTAAACTCATTGAAATTGATACTACCACTATAAATATACCTATAAATATAATCAAATAATCACAAGTTATTCGTAATACCATTTTTACAGCTCAATGCATTGAATAATAATTTTTTTTTTTTTTTTTTTTTATAAAGGAATAAATGAATATACTCACTTGAGAACAGCATTAAAAACTTCTGGTTTCATATTTGGCATCGATAATACAATTATTTTGTTTTCATTCTTTGACCACCATTTCTTTGATATCGCATGACGAAAATAATTACACCTACAACGCAAAATATTGGAATGCGCGCGAAATTCCTCCTCTCCGACCTTAATGATGACATTATAATCATAATCATCGTCATCATTATCAATTAATGAGGATAGGTCTTTTGAGAGGTCCGACCATAAATTGTATGACATTATATTTTTCGAAACAGAATTGAAAAGAAAGAAAAGATGAATTTAATCAATAACAATGCATTTTCGGTTATAAGATTGTTTTTTTCACCTTTTTGTGTACCATTCCAAATCGGGAAAGATTGTATTACAATCTCCGAGTTGTCATAACCGAGACTTTGACATTTGAACATCTGGTAATATAAAATCCTTATAAAATTGCTTAGTACCAATGACTTTGAAATAAATATTGTGCAATCTATTAAATGCAACTTTTGTCCTTTACTTTTCTCTATTCGATACATGAAAAGGTCCGGTCGTAAATCTTGCCTTTTTGATATGATGCCAGCCAGAGTTACGTTTTGTAAAACTGACTGGAATTAAAATAGATTTTAATATAGTACCTCCTTTAAAGAGAAATTATTCTTGAATTGGTTACAATTTATTACCGAAAGGTAGTAGTGTAATAGCTTGATGATAAATCATTTTAGGCATTCTTCAATCATTGTGAGCTCGCATCCACCATTCATATGGAAATGGGAGCTTCGAAAGCAATTTGGTATGGAAAATGACAACCATGAGAATGAAATCGAACTTCGAAATGTTATGCCCCCAAGTTTGAGTGGTTTTGGCGGAATAATGTAAAACGATTTACGTCTCAATTTAATATCAGTTCCCTTTTTGAACAATCAGTACCAATACATGTACTAGATGCTTCATGAAGGTAAGCATATTGCTTTTGCAATAACATCATGTAAAAGGCCCGAGCTTTGCAAACCAAGCTTCTGCATTGCAAAAGCAAAATGGCTCACCTAATCTTAATGCTTGTTTATTTTGGCCAAATGGATGGAATTGCTTTATTAATAGGACGAAATAAATCGTAATTAAATGTAGAAATTAAGATTGAAAATTATTTTAATAATAGTAATTATTTTTAAATACTTGAATTATTTTATATTTATTTATATAAACAATATTATAAAACTAAAATCAAGAACGACATTGTTTATTTTTCAAACCAATTTAGCTTGCGTGTATGATTGTCTATTCGTCTCTTGAAATGCCAGGTCATTTACCTCTGTGTATATGTTATGGATTAGAATTAATCAAAGAATGAAATCATCACACCGAAATTTAACGTAGTGATGGTTTGTTATGTTCACATTTAACATATTCGGTTAGTGGACGCGTCCTTGTATTGTAAGAATCAGACACAGTCGGGGAATAACCATCCTGAGGTATGGGTTGAGCAAATTACCAGACAAAGACGGCGTTGACAATTAGCACTTGTAAAATTTCGTATAATAGGATTTATGAACTTATTAACGCCATTATTAATAAAAAAAAAAATTTTTGGCAAGTGCGGTCTATTAGGTTTGGTCATCTATATGTACTTTAACTATATGGCTATACTTTGTTCTAAGAAGAATTAAATCGGTGACTTTATTATAAAAATTTTATAATATTTTTTATACTTCACCCACTCCAACCGTCCTAATTGCTTTATCAGCTAATTGATTTTGGACTCGTAAAATCTCTTCTTCTGGTATTTGATAGCGAACCAATTTGCGATCTGCATTGAGCATTAAATCTGTACTAATTTTTTTATCGACCGTTGTTGAGACTTTTTTTCGAAAAAGGAAATCTCTCGATCTGCTTGCTTATTGATTTCTTCCGTTGCATTCCTACCTCTAACTTTATATTTTTGCCTCCTAGTATAATGTCATATTTCCTCGTAATCTTAATTGGTCTTTAGTTGTCAACAATTTTGCAAGCTGCTCGGTATTTTTCATAAGCTAATAATCCATTATTCACGCTATGACGGCTTTAGTTCTTCAGAAGTTATTTCCTTGATATCAACTTTTTTAATAATTTTAGGTTATCAAATTGTCCTTTAATTGCATTACGGTAATCAATCGTAATTTTTCCAATGAAGGTTTACAGATTTTTTACAATCGTTTTCTCCAATTCAGCCAATAAAACCTCTTTTAGTTTAGACCAAATCTAAATAGTCTATCACCTAATTTCTAATGCTCACCTTGAAGGGCATTAGGTTGACCCGTCTTATCGGGATGAAAACATAAAACGAGATTTTTGTAACGTAAATTAATTTCTTCTTCTGTTAACATGACATGATATTACCAAATAACATTTCTTTATGTGAGATGATTTCAACACATCCCGTATAAAATCTATTCTTTTGAATTTCCAGATTCCTAAAAAATTACCAGTCCTTCAATGATTAAATTATTTGCTACATTACGGAATTCGTCTCATACTCAACGATTTTCTGATAACTTTAAAAGGTCGCAGGTTGTATTTCTTTTGTATATCTTCAACAACTTTTAACATTTAAAAGGATTTGAAATTCTTTTTATTAATTCTTCTACAGCTTCCATAGGTTCCATAGGGATGAAAAATATCTTCGAAAAAAAAAAAAAACCTTATTAGAGCTTTGATAATTTGATTTTATAATCATTAAATCTAGCCTTTTAATATTCAACGAGAAAAATGATGATATATTTTTGATTCAAGATATGTTGCTTAAAAAGAAGGTTTCCGACAAAACCATGAGGTTTGGACAGTCATCGACATTGAAATCCGTCGAAATCCAGTTTCGACTTTTACTAAAATGAGTTTGAGTTTTGACTCATAATCTCACCTAATATTTAATGTTTTCTAATGATAAGCTATTCACCAATATGATAATAATAAATACTGTAGTTGGCAAAATTTTCTATTGTTATTCCAAGTCCCCATAATACTAAGTAAAATGAAACGCGGCGCCCGGTGACAAAATATATCACGTGAAATTTCGTGAAGGCCAGGGAAATCGATTGTTTTTAGCTGCGCCATTGACTAAAATACTTGGCCTATTATTTTCTATAACCCGATTATTTTTTTATTTACTAAAATGACCCTTTTTTTTATTATTTTTTTAAATTAGAATTCCACTGCACATTGGTCTATAAAACCAGTTAACGTGTAAAGGCAAGGACCATAAAAAATTTTCCTTCTCCAAATGAATAAGGGTTTTATGGTATTGACTAAATGTAAACATTCTAATATTTATTTCTGGGTGTTCACCGAAACTATCTACTAACAAATTCATAATTTTCGAGAATATTTGATTCCTGGTAATTGCATTCTTTTATTAATTAAAGGTTCGAAGTTTTTAAAATTAGTAAATGGTGACTCTTACTCTTAAGTGCTTAGATTTATTTGAGTATTTTATATTTATTTATAAACCGAAATAATAAACGATATTGCTTATTTTTTCAAAACCAATTTAACCTATGTGTATGATCCGTGCTGTTTAGCGGACTAATTATTTCGCGACGAAATTTCCTCCTTAGAAGTGTTTGCATTTGAAAACTCTGTGTACTATGGCATTGAAGGAGTCCTTGTTAATGCACATATAATAATAGGATTTACGCATATTAGTTTGGCATTTTTTCTTTTTCTTTTTCTTTTATTTATTTTTTATTTTTTATATATTCAATAACAAATTAAATGCAATCTGAACGCGGAAAAATTCGTGTGCACTTTTAGATGTAGCTTAAGGAATCGTATTTGGTGCGCAATAACGAAAATATGTGATGCCGATTTTCTTATCTTGCCTCAACTCTCAACTCCAACATTGTAAAACAAATAATCGAAATAAATTATTTAAGAAAAGAATTGCTAATATATATAAATATATTATAATTTAAAGCTGAATGTTGGAATTTTACTACAAGCAAAATAAAGGCCTTAAAGCTTAAGTAATTTATTACCAAAATTATAAACTATTTTATTAAAATCAACATATAGACAACTCAGATGTAAACAAAAACTTATTTCTTGCCATGCTCAACTAATATAACTAAGTATACTTAGAAATAAGGTATGTAAATCCAACGTTATAATTATACGATTATTTGAAATGTGCTATAGTTTTTCGTTAAGCCAGTAAAGATTTGTTATCAAATTGGTTCTGCGGGTACGATTCCTGAGGTATTTCTTCACCACAAATGACCCACAAGAAATCTTCCAAAATTTCTAAGCGCAATTCAGAAATACGACGACACTTATCTCGAATTGTCTTAATAGTTTCGATAGCTCGTTCAAATTCTTCCTTACCACCATCTATTATATCAAAAATTGCAAGGTTAATTCTTGCAATATTCTGCACTTCTTCCAGCCTTGATTGAAAGGGCATTTCTTCTGCGTCATCTAAGTGTACTTGAGCTATATTGCTATACTCTGTTTTAAGAAAAATAAAATCGATAATTTTATTGTAAAGATTTTTAAACTTGATATTTTCTTTTATTTCACGAATACGGTCATCTAGCTTTTTAGCCTCCTCATAAAGCTTTGGATCCTTCACACCAGTATAAACTATCTTTGCAAACATCTTTAGATCATTTGTTGTTTTTCCATAAATTTTTATTTTCCCAATACTCAAGACCTCTCCTAACAAAGTTAATAAATAGGCAACACCATCCGGTCTAAATCTATAGCTTAAAAGTATTTCTACTATTTTATTAGGATTAATAAAATCTGCATGATCCTTTAAGTAAATTAAACTGGTATCTTTTTTATATTCCTTAGAAAGAACGTCGATAAATTTCTGATGGTCTCCTTCATCATGAGCTTTCAGTGCCTCCCTCATGATATCATTAAGCTTTTCAAGAATTACTGGAACTTCTGTCATTTCAGCGCCTTTATTCAATAATTTATAACCGCCCCATAACCCTAAACCAACGGTAGTTATTCCAAATATTAATCCAATTGGGCCCAAAAATCCTAAAGCAATTGCTAAACCAAATTCTTCGATAGCAGCCATAGTTACAGTTGATACTAAACCCCCTCCGACCACCATAGTCATTCCTCCAATTATTTTAAACTGTTTAGCATGCTCTTTGACTTGCAAGATCTCTTCTTCAGGTATTTCATAGCGAACCAAACTGCGGTCTGCATTGAACATTAAATCTGTAATTATTTTTTTCATATCATCGTCAATTGACCGTTGTTGAGACTTTTTTTCAAAAAAGGAAATCTCTCGATCTAATTTCACTAAAGCTTTGTTATCAAAGTTATCTTTAAGTTTAATCTCCGTGGCTGGCTTATTGGTTTCATCCGTCACATTCCTACCTCTAACTTTATCAAATATTTTTTTTGCCTCGTTCAGTTCATGCGTGACCAGATTAGAATTTTTTAAATGTAAATTAATTGCCGACAAAGCAAATAACTGAGCTTCTAAAATTCTGTTGGATACATATAAGCATAATGCCATATTTCCCCGTAATCTTACTTGGTCTTTTAGTTGTTTAGCTTTATCAACAATTTTACAAGCTGCTCGGTATTCCTTATAGGCTAATAATCCATAATTCACGCTATGACGCTTTAGTCCTTCAGAAGTTAATTCTTTGATATCATCTTTATTTAACAGTTTTAGGTTATTCAATTGTCCTTTAGCTGCATTACGGTAATCAATCGTAATTTTCCAAAGATGGTTTGCAAATTTTTCATGCAGAGCCCAACCTTCATTTTTTAAGGTATTTTTCAATTCGTCCAACAAGCTCTCTTTAAAATTTAGACCAAATCTAAATAGTCTATCACCTAATTTCTTATGCTCGCTTTGAAGGTAATACGGGGTATTAGGTTGACCCGTCTTATCGGGATGAAAATATAAAGCAAGTTTTCTGTAACGTTTATTAATTTCTTCTTCTGTAAACATGATATTACTAAATAACAATTCTTTTTTGTGAGATGAATCTTTGTGAGATGAATCCAACACATCCCGTATAAAATCTATTCTTTTTGAATAAGCCATTTTACTAGCTAATAATTTTAAAGAATTCAAGGAAGAAAAGTATTGCCGGTTATCATCTTTAATTTTTGAATTCCCAGACTCCTGAAACTTTACTAGTCCTTCATTGATTAAATTATTTGCTACATTATGGAAACTAATCTCATAATTAACGATTTCTTGATAACTTTCAAAGGTCGCAGGTTGTATTTCATTGAAATATTTAAAATACTTTCGGATATCTTCAACAACATTCTTATTTAAAAAGATTTGAAGTTCTTCTATTAATTTTTCTAAAGCTTCCATAGGTTCCATAAGTTCAATAGGGGAAAAAATATCCTTGTCAAAAAAAAAAAATAAAATAAAATGTTTAAAAAAAAAAACTTGATAATATGCTTTTATTAATCATTGAATTTACCTTTTTATATTCAACCAGAAAAGTGATGATATAATTTTATGTTGTTGATGTTGCCGAGCGATCGAAATCGAAACCCATTGAAACCCAATCGAGATCGAAAAGGTTTCGACTTTTGCCAAAATGAGATTTAGTTCGCGCCTTAGCTACACGGAACTAAGTTGAGTCAAGCAAATTATTAGATCAGCAAAGCCGCAAAAAATTTTCTTATTATTATATTATTACGTTATCAAATCCACAATCTCTTGATTGTTTTTGCTGCGCCACTAAATTAATTTGATAGTTGACTAAAACATACTATCCTGACGAAAATAATTGCAGAGAATATTTACTTTATTATATTTATTATAGCTTCGCCTACCCGATTAGATTATTTTTTAAATTATGTGTGTTGTGTAAATGTAAGGACCATAAATAACCTTTCTTCTCCCAAAGATAAAGATTTTATGGTTATTTGATTTGAATGTAAAAATTCTATATATTTATTCTGGGTGTTCACCGAAACTACCTAGAATCTACTATAATAACAAAATTCCATCATTTCACAATAATTTCGTAAGACAGAAGTGGAGTATGATTCACTTGTAAACAAACGACATAATACTTTTGAAATATGTGATGTAATATATAGTATGTTAATAATTGATTTAATTGTAATAAATTATTTTGATTCTTTCATAATTAAAAAAAATAATTATGTAAAATAAATATTATGTATGTGACTATAACTAAACGTTTTTAATGATTTTACTAAAATTATTAATAATATTTAAATTTATTTTGTAATATATATATTTTTTATTTGTAATATATACAAATACCGCTTCTATTGCGACTCTTCCTTTACTATTAAATGGATTAAAAACTACATAAATTATTTATTTTTACATTTTTACATTGCAAAATCGTAATAAATAAATTCACTTTATTCATAAAATTTAAGATCCTCTTCATAGATAATATCGTTTTCATTAAAAAGGCTATTGTTTGGCATAGAAGACATGTTTATTTTCAAAGAAATTTTCGCTCAACGGAAAAAAAAATGAAAACTTGTTTTAAAGTTTAAAATTTACAAATTATATTACGCATAATAGTGGTTGTATAAAAATTTCACGTGACTGTACTCCATTTGGCCACTTTCTGTATCACTCTAGTTTCGAGGATATTATTTACAACTATGCAATTGCTTTTAATAGAACGAAATAAGACTTAATTTTGAAATTATTTTTAATAATAAAATTAGGAGAAATTAACTTAAGCACTTTAGATTAAATATATTGTATGATCCGTACTCATTATTTCGCGACGAAGGATTCCTTCTTAGAAGTAAGTTGGCATTGTAAAGCTTTGTAAAATGACATTGACAAGGGATAAATATTCTTAAACCAAATATTGACGTTTCATATGAATTGGTGGACGCGTCCTTGTATTGGGAGAATCAGACTCAAGGAGAATAACCATTCTAAGGTATGGGTTGAGCAAATGACAGAAAGAGACGTCGTTGACAGGATTAGCACTTATCTCTGTAAACCTTCGTATAATAAAGTTTTATGAATTTATTTTAACGCCATTGCTAATAAAAAAGGTTTCGTGATTTCAAAATATAATTTAAGTGACGGTCTGATAGTTTGGCTTTTTTTTTGTTAATTAATAAAAGATTAAAAGTAATTCGGACATCGTGTTTATATAATTTGTATAGCCACTGCAATGCGGAGACGTATTTGGCGCAGTATAACGAAGACAATCAACTTCACATGTCGAACAAAGTTTTACAAAAATCCGAATAAATTATTTAAAAAAAATATATCTATTAAAGGATTTAAGGGATGAATGTTGGATTTAAAACCTGCAAGCATTATAAATGAAGTAAAGCTTAAAATAAGTTGCTACCAAAGTTAAAAAAAAAATTTTATTAAAATATCAGCATATAGAACTCGGATAAAACTAATTTCTTGCCACGCCCAACTATATACATAAATAAAATATAACTAAGTATAAATCCAAAATCCAAAGTCCTAATTATGTTTATAAAATATGTGCTTTAAGGATTTAGTTAAGCCAGTAAAGATCTGTTATTAAATTGGTTCTGCGGGAGATTGATTTTAGGTAATTCCAACGATTCCTGAGGCATTTCTTCGCCACAAATGACCCACAAGAAATCTTCCAAAATTTCTAAGCGTAATTCAGCAAAACGATAATTACGGCTTTTATCTCGAATTGTCTTAATTGTTTTGATAGCTCGTTCAAATTCTTCTTCGTGACCGTCTAATATGTCAAAAATTGCAAGGTTAATTCTTGCAATATTCTGCACTTCTTCCAGCCTTGATTGAAAGGGCATTTCTTCTGCGTCATCTAAGTGTACTTTAGCTATATTGCTATACTCTGTTTGAAGAAAAAAGAAATCGGTGAAAGTATTGTAAATGTTTTTAACTTTATTATTTTCTCGTAATGCTTGAATGCGGTTATCTAGCTTTTTAGCCTCCTCATAAAGTTTTGGATCCTCCACACCAGCATAAACTGTCTTCGCTAACATTTTTAGTTCATTTGTTGTTTTTCCTTTAATTTCTATTTTCCCAATATTCAAGACCTCTCCTAGCAAAATTAATAAATAGGCAACACCATCCGGTCTAAATCCTTGGCTTAAAAGTGCTATAACTATTTCTTTAGGATTAATCGAATCTGAACGATCCTTTAAGTTTAAAAGTCTGGTATCTTTGTCATATTCCTTAGAAAGAATATCGATAAATTTCTGATGATCGTCATCATCATAAGCTTTCATTGCGTTCCTCATTATATCATTAAGCTTTTCAAGAATTTCTGGAACTTTTATCTGTTCGGCGCCTTTATTCCATAAATTGCTACCGGCCCATATTCCCAAACCAATGGTCAATAATCCAATTGGGCCCATAAATAGGGCCGCAAATGGGCTCACAAATACATTAATTCCGAAAGCAATTTTTGCTAAACCAGTTATTTTATACTGAAAAGCATGATTTTGGACTTGTAAGATTTCTTCTTCAGGTATTTCATAGCGAACCAAACTGCGGTTTGCACTGAGCATTAAATCTGTCATTATTTTATTTATATCGTCGTCAATTAACCGTTGTTGAGACTTTTTTTCAAAAAAGGAAATCTGTCGATCTAATTTCACTAGAGCTTGCGTGTTATCAACTTTATATTTCAGCTTAATCTCCGTGTCGGGCTTATTGGTCTTTTCCGTTGCATTCCTACTTCTTACTTTATCAAATATTTTTTTTGCCTCGTTCAGTTCACGCGTGACCACATTACAATTCTTTAATTGTAACTTAATTGCCGACAAAGCAAATAACTGAGCTTCTAAAATTCTGTTGGATACATATAAGCATAATGCCATATTTCCCCGTAATCTTACTTGGTCTTTTAGTTGTTTAGCTTTATCAACAATTTTACAAGCTGCTCGGTATTCCTTATAGGCTAATAATCCATAATTCACGCTATGACGCTTTAGTCCTTCAGAAGTTAATTCTTTGATATCATCTTTATTTAACAGTTTTAGGTTATTCAATTGTCCTTTAGCTGCATTACGGTAATCAATCGTAATTTTCCAAAGATGGTTTGCAGATTTTTCATGCAGAGCCCAACCTTCATTTTTTAAGGTATTTTTCAATTCGTCCAAAAAGCTCTCTTTAAAATTTAGACCAAATCTAAATAGTCTATCACCTAACTTCTTATGCTCGCCTTGAAGGGAATACGGAGTATTAGGTTGACCCGTCTTATCGGGATGGAAATATAAAGCGAGTTTTCTGTAGCGTTTATTAATTTCTTCCTCTGTAAACATGATATTACCAAATAACATTTCTTTTTTATGAGATGAATTCAACACATCTCGTATAAAATCTATTCTTTTTGAATAAGCCATTTTACTAGCTAATAATTTTAAAGAATTCAAGGAAGAAAAGTATTGCCGGTTATCATCTTTAATTTTTGAATTCCTAGACTCCTGAAACCTTATTAGTCCTTCATTGATTAAATTATTTGCTACATTACGGAAATTAATCTCATAATTAACGATTTCCTGATAACTTTCAAAGGTCGCAGGTTGTATCTCATTGAAGACTTTAAAAGAATTTTGTATATCTTTAACAACATTAACATCTATAACATCTAATATTTGAAGTTCTTTTATTAATTTTTCTACAGCTTCTTCCATAGGGACAGAAAAAAATGAAAATAAGTGGAAATGGTCATTGAATCTAGCCTTTTTATATTCGCCAGAAGAATTTTATAATCGTCAAAGGCAACTCACCTAATATTTATCGCGCGGAATAATTATTTTCTCACGATAAGTTATTCATCAATATGATAATAATAAACAGTTCGCGCCTTGGCTACACGGAAATTAGCTGAGTCGAACATTTTATTAGATCAGCAAAGCCGCAAAATTTCTATTATTTATTAATTATTGTTCATTATTACGTGATCAAATCCACAATCTTTTGATTGTTTTTGGTTGCGTCAGTCACTAAATAATTTGTTGCAACAAATCACAATCTTATAGTTAAACAAATACATATTTTCTGGTTTTAATTTGTTTTTTAGATTTTTTAGTTTTAGTTTTAGTTTTCGATTCGTTTTTTTTTTTAGTTTATTTATTTTAGTTTTAGTTTTCGTTTCATTTTTTTTTTTCATTTTTTTAAAATTACAAACATTTCTATACTATTCTATATTATAAACTTATTATACCTACTGCATACCAACTTTTGAAACAGAGTTGCTCGTGCCTTTTCTGGATTTAAACGATTACGCAAAGGATTTATAGTATTTTTTGCAATTGAAAATATCTGTTCACTAGACACGCTAGTTGCTTGTACACAAAGGTAATCTTGTGCCATTTTTGCTATGTTTTGATATTTTGAATTAT